GACCTGGAGGAGGCCCTAGATTCAACCCCCAGTACCACTTTTAAAAAAATTTACTACTGTGAATGTAACAATCTATTTGAATATCATAGAAAAGCCAAATTCTCCTGGTTAAGTGTAGTATTAAAGGTGGCTAGGATATAATACTACCATTGAGGAATTAATACTTACTGATGTGATATAGATAAGACACAAAACTTGAATGTAGTGTCCCTAATTTTATGACACATAAAATGAGAGGTCCCCAGAGCAGAGGACACATAAAAGGATTTTCTGTTCCAGTGAGCTCCATGGCTATGTTGGGGGCAGCTTCCTAGGAGTGGTGTGATTGTCCAGTTTCTGATACTAGAGCTTTTGGTATTGGATACACCATATGCGGGATGCTGCTTAGCAGAAGTGTTCTGGTTGTCTGGGCATTCCTGGAACTTGGAGGAGCTGAGGGAGCAGAAGAAGTAGACAGGGGGGAGAAAAAAAATGAACCCCCCCCCCAAAAAAAAAAGTAAGAGATATGATTGTATTTGGTCCTAGTTCCATAAAATAAGAGATGAGTAGTGAAACCACTTTAGGGGGGAAAGAAGTAATGTTTTGTGTGAAATACACTTCTATCAGCAGGGAAGTGGATATATTTAAGTAGAAAGGACAGATAACGTCTCAAGAATCCAAGCATGTAATGATGAAGACATGATCCTGGGCAAAGGTTGCATCTTACACTTAAATCTACAGTCAGTGTCCAGGCTGTGCCATTTACAATTTCTCACCTCTGTACTTTTCTGGATGCTAATTCTTGCTTGGATTCCCCAGGGTTTCTTAACTACAGAATTACTCTAGGAAGAAAGAAAACAAAAATCTCTCTGAACTTAGCTTTGTTAGGAAATGAATAAAAAAAAATTTATTTTTTTTTTTTTTTGCATTACCAGGAATTGAACTCAGGACCTTGTGCTTGCCAGGCAGGTGCTTATGTCACTGGGCTATATCCCCAGCCCCAAGAAAAAATTTAAATAACGCGTTTGTTGGAAAAAAAATTAACTTGGAGACTGCCCTACCTAGATTGAGGAACTTAAGGCAGCTCCTGTAGACTTATTTCTGGTTCTAAGGAATGTGCATTTTTCTTTCTTATAGTCTAGGTCTTTCTCTAAGTATTTCATGTTAAAACTACCTGAATTACCCTCATTTTTCAAGGTTAATTAACTAATAACACCAGTTGCAGGCCTGGTTTTGGACTCCTCTGGTATTTTATCAAGAATGAACCGGGAGGAGGGGGGGGGGGGGAAAAAAAAACCCAGATTACATTTACTAAAGCAAATAAACACACACAGAAAATGAATACCATAGAGAGCACCTCTTATGGGAAATTAGGTGGTTCTAGGGTTACGTTTGTATATTGCAGCACTGTTGAAAAGTGGACCCATCACTCGGACTTACTTGCCATGACTTAGCGTAAGGACTTGGGTTCAACTCCCAATGCTGACAGAAAGTTGAGGTAAAAAATGACCATGGTTCTAGAGAGAATGGTTTGAGAGTAGTAGCTTTAGTAAACCAGTAAAGATCTTCTTCCTTCAAGTTAATTGCTTTTGCCCAGTGAAGTTTTTGACTTTTGATTTTTTAAAATTTCTATTTTTTTCCAGTCATTTCATTTTATTTTTATTTATTTATTTTTTGGTGGAATCGGGGATTGAACTCAGGCCCTTGCACTTGCCAGGGAAGTACTTATTCCTCTAAGCCATCTCCCCAGCCCCTTTATTTTTTTTTTTAAAGCAGTACTAGAGATTAAATTTGGGCCCTAGTGCTCTACCACTGAGGTATATCCCAAGAATTTCTTGACTTTAATATCACATGTTTTGGTTTTCTTCCCATTAATCCTTTCTACTTGGAGATTATTTTATTGGAGTCTTTCAGAACTTACTCTGAAAAATTATAAATTTTAAAACTAGAATCAGGGTACAGTGGTGCATGATTCCAGCATTCTGGGAGGCTGAGGCAGAAAGATTGCAAGTTCTAGTCCAGTCTTGGCAACTTAGTGATTTAAGAAGATCCTGTCTCAAAATTTAAAGATAGAGAAAGGACCACGGTGGTACCCAATGGCCCTTTCTTTAGTTCCTCCCTGAAAGAATCCTGGATGGTCATATACTTTTTTTTTTTTTTGGTGGTACCAGGGATTGAACTCAGGACCTTGTACTTTCCAGGCAGGTGCTTATTTTACTGAACTATCCCCCTGGCCCCTACTTTCTTCTTTTTTTTTTTTTTTTTTTGTCTTTTTGAGACAGGGTCTCACTGTGCGTTTAAGTTGGCCTTGAGCTCACTTTGTAGCCAGGCTGGTCTCGAACTTGTAACAGTCCTCCTGCCACAGCCTTCTGAGTGCTGGGACTGCAGGTGTGTGTTACCACGTCAAGCTTTTTCTAAATTTTATAACTTGTTCATCAGTTTCTACTCTCAAACATTCTTGCTTAGAGTTTGATACCTCTTGTTATAAATTTGTATTTCAACTTGACAACAAATGAATATTTTAATACTTGAATTAAACATATATAGGTCTTCATTTATTTATGTCTCTGAGTTCTGTTACTATTTCCCCCCGGCATATTGATCTAACACATTCTGTAATACATTTCTTCCTATTTCACTTTTACACTTTTTTTTTTTTTCTGATTTAAAATTGTTCATTGCTGTTATATATAGAAACAGCTTTTTTAGTTGCTCATCTATCATGTGACTTAAGTATTTTAGCTGTTTTTATAGCTGCTTTAGAATTTCTACATGAACAGTTATGTGTGTATTAGTAAAAGACAGTTTCACTTCTTCCTTTATGCTGTGTATATCTGTTTACTTTTCAATTGAGAGCTGTTTGTTTGAGCCAGAGTCTCATTATTTAGCCCAAGCTGGTCTTGAACATGTGCTCTTCCTCCCTCAGCCTTCCTTGTCCTGAAATTATAGGCATGCGCCACCACATATGGCTTTGACTTGATATAAAGAAAATTATGTTAGCTATTTTTTTAACGTACAATGTGACTATGAGCTTTTTCATTTCAGAAACACAGAACCTGAAACCCACAGCCGTAAGGAGAAGAGGTTTAGTGTAGCAGTTTATGGAAAGTCAGTCCTTGGGTGTCCTTGCTTTGAGGCAGAAACCTTGTGGCAAGAGGACATGAGGGAGCAGAGCTGCTTTGATCTTGGCAGGTGGGAAGCAGAACAAGCAAAAAGGACAGGGACCATGGAGAGTACAAATGCTACACCTCCCTGACTGCCATGATGCACCCATGCAAGGGACCTGCTTTACCATCCCAGGATGCCTTAGTACTGAGAAATTGACATCAGACAGTGCTCACAGTAACCATTAAAATAACCATGTAAAGCATAGTCACATGCTTCTAATTTCATTACATACCATTTCATCCTACCAGACATGAAACATCCTCTTTGTTTTCTATTTTAGGCCCTTGAGATGTACAAGGATGATTGGAACAAAGTGTCAGAACATGTTGGAAGTCGCACTCAAGATGAGTGCATCCTCCACTTTTTGAGGCTTCCCATTGAGGACCCCTACCTGGAGAATTCGGACGCTTCCCTCGGGCCACTGGCCTACCAGCCTGTCCCTTTCAGTCAGTCGGGAAACCCAGTCATGAGCACCGTGGCGTTTTTAGCATCTGTGGTGGACCCTCGTGTAGCGTCTGCTGCAGCAAAAGCAGCTTTGGGTATGGACTCCCCTGAGCAAACAGCAGAGAAGCTTTTTTTCTTTTGTAGTACCAGAGATTGAACTCAAGACCTTATGCTTGCCAGAGAAGCTTTATTGGTGTCATGCTTAAGTATTTTCAGCTGTTGCTTTCCCATGTAAATAACTAAAAATTAGACATTACTCCATAAAAATTACATGTTCTTTATCAAACATGTAATAGTTTTAAATTTAGTAGCTTGTAAATGAAGGAGGCATTTAAGAATTGAAGGAGCAGTTGAACATGGTGGCACAGGCCCATTTAATCCCAGCACTCAGAAGGCTGAGGCAAGAGGAGCACAGCAAGTCCGAAGCACCCCCCCCCAAAAAAAAAAAAAAAAATGATGGTGTTGCACTTGTATGAATGGTGCATGGCTATAATCGCAGCACTCTGAGAAACTGAGTCAGGTAGACCACAAGTTCCAGACCAGCCCAGATAACATAGCGAGAACCTGTCTCAAAATAAAAAAAAAAATTGGGCCTGCGAGATAGCTCAGCGGACCAAGTGCCTCCTTCAGCAAGCTCAAGTACTGAAGTTCAATTCCCAGCGCCACAGGCGGCGTTGGCTCCACCTGCAGGTGTGCAGAGCTGGCAACTGAGACTGGGCGTGGTAGCACACGCCTGTAATCCCAGTGCTGGGGAGGCTGAACACAGGAGGATCACTACAAATCCAAGCTGCATAGTGAGACCCTGTACCAAATACGTAAAAGAAAAAAAAAAAAATGGGGATTTTAGGATTAGGAGTTTATCTCAGTGTGAAAGTCCCCAGTACAGGAGGAAAAATACAAAAGGAGGAATGAAAGTATATTTTGTGATGTACTTGTGATTAATTTCATAGAATTGAGTATTAAAATCATTTAATATTCTTTAGTTAGGTTAATCTCTCTCTCTCGAACTCACTCTCTTGAACTCAGGATCTTGCCCATGCTGTGTGCCACTGAACTGTGTATCTCCAGTCTCTGGGTTATGTTAATTTTGAATAGAAGTTTTTACCATACGATTTTCTTTTATAGATAGGAACTCAACATGTAGCTCAGGCTGGCCTTATGAGACAGTTTCAGACCAAATTGGTAGGACAGTTTCAATAATTCACACATTGCATACGTTCTTCCTAGTGGTTATTTGCTGTACAAGATGCAGACATGATATCCTATTTACAAACACTATTAGAACAAATCCCTCTATTCATTAAGAGAATGTAACTATATATCCTAACCATTTTGAATACAGATACAAAATGAACATTCATTTGTATCCCCTTTTTTGTTTAGTTCCTTTATTTGAATATTATAGGTGTGTTAACTCAGCAAAATATTCTAAAAGAGTCCAGTAGTCCATGATAGTTCTTCTGCTTCACTGGCAATGTCAGAAATTGTTGACCTGAGTCCCCTACAGATGCTTATTTTTAAATTGTCCGTCAATCTAACCCTTGAACAATACTGATTGGTAGTCAGAAATTTCAAATTTCTTTTATAAAATACTGCGGCAAGTGGGGTGAAAACTTGCAGTCAGAGTTTTGTCACTACTTTTCTTACTTTGCCCTAATATTTTGCTTGTGTGGGGCCTCAGTCCCAAAGAAATCGCTGTACTCCAGAGAACATTATATTAGATAGCCTAGGGCTCTCCAAATGAAATGTGCTTTACACAAACTGAAGACAGTACTCTACTCTCTACTTCTGCTTTTGACAGAGGAGTTTTCTCGAGTTCGAGAAGAGGTGCCGCTGGAGTTGGTTGAAGCACATGTCAAGAAAGTGCAAGAAGCTGCTCGAGCTTCTGGGAAGGTGGATCCCACCTATGGTCTAGAGAGCAGCTGCATTGCAGGCACTGGGCCCGAGGAACCGGAGAAGCTGGGTGAGTCCCTGTATCCACAGCCTGAGCTCACTGGTGTCTATGTGTCTGTTGGCCTGCCCTGACATGAGCACACAGGCAGAGTGAGCCCTTGAGTCTGGTGATGGCTTTTTTCTCTTAAGTACTTGCTTTATGGTAGCTAGGACTGAGACCAAGTCATGTCTGGTAATAGTATTAAAGTTAGGAAATATTTGATGGCTGTAAGCCTAGGTTTTGAGCATATAGAGATAAGGGTACTACTAACAGGGCTGTGTTTAATTTATATGTTGCTAAATTAGTTGGTGTCTTTTTTAAAGTTAAGGTTAAATTCCTATAAGATTGCCAACACTTTGAAGTTTATGATCTGCTGGCTTCTCATATATTCACTGAACTGTACATCTTTGACCATCATTTAATTCTAGAGCATTTTTCATCATTCTAAAAGGAAATTTCAAATTCCCTAAGTCACTTCGCATTCTTCCTCCTCTTCAGCCCTGGCAGCTGCCAGCTTAATACTATTTTCATGGATTTACCTGTTCATAACATTTCTCATATGGCATTTTCTTTCTGGCTTTTTTCAGTTAGCCTGTTGGGAAGGTCCATGTGGTAGCATGAATCAGTACTACTTCATTCTTTGCTGTGCTGTGTAGTACCCCTTTGGACAGATGTACTAAAGTTTGTCTATGCATCAGTTTGTGAATATTTTCACTCTGCACTTTTGTGCGATACCATCTTGATCATTGTACCCTTATGTTAAATTTTTATAATAGTGTCAGTCTTCATACTTTATTCTCCCTCAACATCATGTTCGTTAAAGTCTTATATGTATAAGGTATGTATGTGTGTGCGCGCGCGCATGTGCACACACTGATCAAAAAATGTGATATGTGTTTAAATAAAAATTACATTATAGTAAATGATACTTGGTATTAATTCCTCTGAGAATACTCTCCTCTCCCTGCTTTATTTTTTATTTATTTATTTATTTTTTGGCGGAACTGGGGATTGAACTCAGGCCCTTGCGCTTGCCAGGAAAGCGCTTATTCCACTGAGCCATCTCCCCGGCCCTCCCCCTTCTTTAGACACACTCATCTCATTGTTTCTACTAGTGTTCCGGAACTTGTTTCATGAGTCTTTTTAGAAAGTATGATTTAAAAATTGGTAAATACTGCCAAATGCCATCCATTGGAAAGGCAGGCTCTTAAGCATGAATACAGAGATTTTAATTTAGAAGAAAACAACTCATACACTAAAAGAAAAACAGAGTAACAGATTTTAGAAATGCAAATAGCCCACTGCGGCCCACAAGCCATAGGTTTGCCACCACAGGGTTAGGGGTTGAATCCAGGATCTCATATATGCCAGGCAATACCAGGGAAGGTGAATTCCTCCTGTGGTCTAGAGAGCAGCTGCATTGCAAGCACTGGACTATATTGCACCTTTTTTTTTCCCCCTCCCCCTGGTACTAGGGATTGAACTCAGGACCCTGCGCTTGCCATGCAAGCACTTATTCTACTGAGCTGTCTCCCGGGTGCCTTTTTAAATTTTTATTTTGATTGGAAAGCTAAGGCAAGAGGACCGCCATGATTTTAAGGCCAGCCTGAAATTATTTTTCTGCATCTCATGAAAATACAGTTGTTTTGTTTTTGTTTTTGTTTTTGGGTTTTTTTGTTTTTGGTTAATTTGTTGAACATTGAATTACATTAGCTGATTTTTTTTTCTTTTTTTGTTTTTTGGGTTTTTTTTAGGGTTTTTTTTGGCGGAACCGGGGATTGAACTCAGGCCCTTGCGCTTGCCAGGGAAGCACTTATTCTACTGAGCCATCTCCCCGGCCCCTCATTAACTGAATTTTGAATATTGAACCAACATTTCGTGCTTTGGATGAAACCCACTTTGTTTTTTGAGTCAGGGTCTCACTGTGTAGTTCAGGCTGGCCTTGAACTCACCATGTGTAGTCCAAGCTGGCCTCAAAATATAGTGATCCTCTTGTCTCACACTCCTGAGTGCTGGAATTATCGGTGTGCATCACCATGCTTGGAAGAAAACTAACTTTATTGAGGTGTATCGTCCTTATTATACATTATTAGATGCAGCTTGCTGATATTTTTGGTGATTTTTCCATCTGTCTTTATGAGATATAGTAGTCTTTTGTTTTTTTCTTGTAATGTTTTTGTCTGGTTTTTTGATACTAGGATAACACTAGCTTCTGTTTGTGACTTTTGAAGGAAATTGTATGTAATGAGTTGTCTTGCTGGGTGTGGTAGTGCATTCCTGTCATCTTAGCACTCAGGCTGAGGCAAGAGGATTGTTGTGAGCTCGATGCCAACCTGGGCTACACAGTGAGTTCAATCCAGTCTGCAGTACAAAGTAAGGCTCTTGTCTCAAAACATTTTTAAAAAGAGAAGAAACATCAGAAAATTGTCTTATTTCATCCTTGAATGTTCAGTGGAATTCACCAGTGAACTCATGTCCTTGCTTTACTTATTAGTTTTTCTAGGCATTGAGCCTAGGGGTTTGCTTTGAGCCTAGCCCCTGCCTCTTTTATTTTTT